AGCATCAATACATGGCTAGACAGCTGGAATATCTCAGTTTTGTATTGTATCACATACTCTCTATCTCTCAATTAAGTGTTTTCAGTTGTGCTAATACAATCTTATTGTTGTTCATTATTATAAATAATATCCTTCTTTGTTTTAGATTTTTTCACTATTTAATATAAGTCTCTCCAGTGCAAAAATATCTACATTAGTTGCTCTACTTTTAAGATATATTCTAAGTCACCTTATAAGCCACTGGATCTAATTTGATTCACCAGCTCATATTTGCTGGAAATTTGGTCAGAGGTCACTTATTTAGACAATATGAGTGTCTTATTATATTACTATTATTAATCTATTCTTATAAGACATTTTACAACTTTCTGGTATAATGCACAGCACAATAGTTACCAATCCTGATGGCAAGTCTAGCAAGTGTGGTGCTTGTGATAATTGACACCAAAAATAGCATAAACACCTACAGTCAACTCTCTAATAACTCATAGTGGTCAGTGGACTCTCAGAGCTATAAGATATGAGAGAGTATGAGGTTGGAGAGAGGATATTATAGATCAACTTCAAGGCCCCCATAGAGGCTTATATTTTGTTAATAGGCCTATAATATAACTTGCTTGCTATTTAAAAGTGAAGTAGCTTATAATCTGGCTGTCCTGAAGTGAATTAGCCTCATCAAGTCTTTTTTTTATCTAAACAAAGTCAAGATACTTTCCAAGTTCCAAGCAAATGGATCATTCATGATCTCAATGTACTTTTGAAGAGTTCTGATAGCTCAAAGAGCCTTATGCTACTTAGGATGAGATTCTAACACTGAATCATCATCACCATCAACATCATCTCTGAATCCATTCTCATCCATGCCTTCTTCTGCACTCTGTGATGCTATCACTGCATCAAAGATATCTTTGTCTGTTATCTCTTCCATGTCTATGTTCTCTATCTTTAGATTCAGCAAGGATTTGATATCCATATAATTATAGCATTGCAATACATCTGTGTCTTGGAGATCATTGAGGAATTCCTCCAGCTGCTTTTCTATGTCTGTGATAGAATTCTGACCAAGCAAAGTAATAGGAATTGATATTGACACAATAGGAGCAAGAGAAGTATCAGGTAAGATTTCAGCTTTCTGCTAACAGTGCTTTATTGTGAAAGTATCCACTGATTTACATGTGGCATCAGCAAGCCACATAACCTTGAGTTGATTGATATCATAGATTCCAGCAGGAGAGATATCACTATCATAGCAATCAAAAGCCTGCCAGATGTAGCTTCATCAGTAATAGGCTTTAAAGCAGTGAATGATGCCAGCATCAAGTGGCTGGATATGCAAGATCATGTTAGACTTGAAATTCTCAACAGTTATGCACTGCAGATCATCTTCAGGAACAATGTGTGCTGAGAAATTGTCTTGTAACAGCAAGATATTTCTTTTGTTCATCTATAGCTCTGCATCCCATTCCAATATCTATTCCTTATAAAGAGCTATTGTCATTCAGACTTTTGCATTATTACAGTAGTAGAAGCCCAGCTGCATGTCTGACTTCTTTTGAAAAGGATGAGGTTTATAGGCTTTTCTGATGATGAAAGGCTCTTTCTTGTCAGAGCCATTGGCATTTACAGTAAATGCATATGTCAAGCAAACTTTGCTTCTCTTGACACTGGAATGCTTTTTGTCAGCAAGGCCATGATCAGAAGGCATACTGTGTTTTGTTTCAGTCAGATATTTTTGCAAAGCCAGTGCACTTACCTATAGAACAAGCCTGTTTCATCCATGTTATAAATATTGCAGAGCTTGTATTTAGCTAGGATTGTCTTAATGTGCTCTTATTCTACATCTATCTCAGTGAGATCAGCAGATCCAGTTTCACCATGTCACTTGAATTCCTTTAAATTGGTCTGCTTCTTGAATTTTAACAGCCATCCAGAGCTCAAGCCTAGTCTCTCATCCTCTGGTACCCCCTTCAGATCTGCAAATGTTGTCTACTTTTCACACAAGACTTCATCATTCAGCAAGATACTATCTGCCATTGCTTTTGTGACCTATAAATCCATCATCTCAGTTATCTCTGGGTGCTGAGTTTAATGCATGCACTTCACTTGATGGCCATTTACCCCACTCTTTTTGTGCTCCTCCCTCTACTTGTCTTCTGCTTTCACTCATGCACTGATAAGTGGCTGTTTGATTTTAAGATGCAGATATTTGGCATTGAAATGCCTTGCCATCTTGGATTGATTTCTTTCATTGGCAAGATACTAGTCAAGAATCTTAATGCACTGCTGCAGGGTTGCAAGCTTGCCATGCTGCTCACTAGTCACAGTAGATCCTTCTTTCCTTTTTTTGGCTTGTGCTTTCCCACCATTACTGTGATGCTCTACATGCCTTTCCAGTGCTGCATGATAAAGAATCAATGCATGCTGCTCAACAGTTAGAGCATGGCTTACTTTTTCTCTTCAGAGATGGCTTATTAAAATTTTTGATTTGACTCTCAAGTCAGTTGTATGCATGCCTCTGGCTCATATTGAAATTCTTGAATGCAGCTGCAAAATCTGATGCTGACTTGAGCTTCTTGATGATGTCCTCATCAACAAAATTTCCTGCTTCATCTAACCACACTTCTTCTTCTGAGACTGATCTCTTTTCAGTGAGCCTAGCAAGAATACTTGTTCATTTTGCCTCAGTTTCATCTTTGCAGATTTGGATGGCTTTTTTCAATTCATGAATGGTTGGAAATGTCATACTAGGACTTCTAGCACAACAGAAAGGGCAGTAGAGGGAGTTGATAATGGCACATAAGAGTTTTTACATTTCTCTAACAACAGCCCCAACATAGCAACTATTTGGCTCTCTTAAATTGACATCACTAGATGCTACTGTCAGCACAATGACTAAGTATCTATAGGATACCAGAGAGGGGATTCTTGAAAAAAGCTATGGAATATGAAGTATGGGTTTATGGCATCAATTTTCCTGTGAATGAGGTCAGTGGATCCAAAAATCTATGGGGTATGGGGGAGTATGGGTTATGGGAGGTATGGTTCATAAGAGAGTTGGCTGTAATATGAAGTCTATGAAGCTAAAAAGGCCTTTAGACCTACTTGGATCAATTCACTCTCATGCTTCATATTTCTTGTGAAAGTCTGAGCATCCATATTTAAGTAGATCTTTTTTAAGTGTGACCCATCTCTTCCTGCTTTAAGACACTGTGCTTTTTCCATCACAATGATCACATCATTGTTTCTCTGGGAGCCCACAAGTGAAATGGTATGTAGACAGAAAATTAACTCAAACATAACAATATCATAGTGGACTTCCACATGGTACAGAAACAATCAGCTGCTTCAAACCATATCACAAGAGTAAGGCTCATGAGTTCCAGTGTCTTATAATTTTAGCCAATGTTCTACCTTCTGTGATAAGCTGGAGAGAGTGAATCTTGAATTCCCTCAAAGAAGGTACTATTTTCAAAATGATACCTGCTCTTTTGAATGTCAGTGTTAATTCTGTAGAGCAGGAAGATGAAGATGGGATATGAGTGCCATGATTGTTTCCAGAATTAAAATGGAAAGCCATTCAACAATGCTGAGGTTTCTTAAACATGTATGTCCAATCATAGAAATTTGAGGTCAATGCCTTATGAAGGGCTCTAGCATGCAGATTCCACCAATTTTGCTCCATCCCAATGCAAGAGTAAAGCAACATGCACTGGCATCATGACTGCATGTAATTTTCAGATTTCTTCCACTGGTAAAGTGAATGAGTTCAAGAAGCTGATAGGCCTGTGGTAGCCTGCACAAGGCTCAGTGAGCAAAGGCTGGATACATGCCTGAATCCATTGATAATATGGGACACTACAGGGTATGTATCAAAAAATTGAGAATGTCATTGGATAACACCTTCAAGATAGGTAGGGAATGGGACATATTACTGAAGGGTAGGAAGGCATGTATTGGTGCTGCGATACAGAGCTCAGTCCATCAGGTCGATGTGGACAGAATCATGGCAAGAACTGGATAGTCACAGATGTCAGAGTTCACTATAATACCAATGGTGAGTGGATGCTCCCTTGTTCTTGCCAGTAGAATACCCAAACAGATGACGGATTTCATATGGTTCACATATTTGTTCATCTCCAGCTCGATGTAAGACCATAATTTAGCTCTCTCCAATGCACTCCTTTTCCAAATCGTGCAGACCTGGGATAAAATCCATGGCATTGCCTTGGGACTAAGCGAGTCGAAAGCGCCTGTAGGTGTGTCGATCTGATTGTGGTGGTGGATGCACATGGAAAAAATTTCCATGAACACATCTGCTGGTAGGATTCAAACAGGATTAAGGATTTCCGTGTCTGAAACACGTTTTTTTACGAGAACTACTCCTAGAGGAGTGCCTGGAGGGTATTTCTTGTAACGGAAATGGCTATTGTAGAATGGAGAGATGGATGTTACTCCTACAAACAATAGCCTCAAGTATGGCAACTTCTGGATCGAGAGGGGCGTCATTGCAGGGGAGGAGCTCAATAATTCGAGACGGAGGGAGACCAGGGGGAAGGGGCACCTCTGTCAAATAGAAACTTAGAGGAATACACTTACAGAAGGGTTGTAATCGCTTGAAAACCATCCCTCTCAGAAGGCCCCATCTAACAACAAGGCAATTGGCAATAGATCATCATGTTACTTTAGGCAGTAGTTCAATGACAAATGCACCATATTGCGACTTATGAAAGGTGGGACTTACACGTAGTTATGGTATAAATAAGTAGAGAATCTGAAAATCAAGTATCAGCTTGTGATCCAATGAAACATATTCCTGTTGAAATTCATAGGGGGACATTCACACTGTCAAATATCTGAGCTTCGTCTAGTATCGGTAATGACTTTTGTTTCAGCAACCTACATGATATATTGATCCACATCCAAACAAAGGTATAAAATAAAACGCTGTAAATCTACGGCACCAACTTCACCACACTGGTCTTTCCAAGCACACGAAACACTCAAAGGCGTCGTACAGGATGGAGTGACTTCAATGCATCCTGGCATGTATTCTTCTCGACATCTTCTCCCCTCTCACTAAGATCAGGCGGTGTCTCTTGCATATCAACAACTGTCATATCCACAATTCTGAGCACGCCGTCAGTGGCTTCTGACTCTCCTATCTCCCCTTTGTCATTAAATGGGTTTGGGTTGAAGAATCCTTGCCCTTCTACGAGCGAGGTCAATGGTCCTGTACCGTATTCTGAGAATTAAGCATGAACTTCGTCATAAATACAGAGCGGATTTGAGGCCACACGTACCGAGAACATACCCCGTTGAATTCCTGATGGTGTTAGTAGTTCCGTGGTCAGATGCGCGCTTGAGGGTCAGCCAGGCTATATTTGTAAACTGGAGTGCCTCCTCAGAGTCTGCTGATGCATTGAAACCAGGTCTGAGCAATCCCCCCAAAAGAGATGCCTCGACAACGAAACCTACTTCACCTCCTTTGTTAAGGATATGGTATCTGCCGTAGTTCATAGTATCTTCTGGGGTTCGATGGGTCCAGTCATTGGGATGCAGATAGGATCCGAGTGCATGTGCCAGTTCATGGTAGATCGTAGCCACTAGCATGATAACAGGAGCCATGTTCACATCCGGCAGTGAACGAGATTCACCTAGCGCCTTCTCCGCCTTGGCCATCGCTTCTTCTGTAGCATACACCAAGTGACAATTCAGGAAGATTGTGTTTCCATATCATTCGATGCGGAAGACCTCACCGGCAGTCCCAATATCAAAAGAGTTTGGGTCAGCGCCAAGATAAATATTGGGGAAATGGTCTATGAAATATTTTTTGAGGCCGAGTCGCTCTCCCTTTGGAATATCTTTGGGATCTAAAGGCGGGATAATAATCTTGTTTCGCAGAACGGAAATGTAATGTTGCCTCATATAGTCTTCGTGTTTATTCGATATGGGCTCTCCTCCTGTTGGCTGGTCACACTGAAGGCCTTTCTTTATCAGCGCGAAGACTTTGTCGAAGTGTGGAAGTGCCACATTTGTATATTTCGCTGTTTCTAGCCTGATTTTTTCAGGAGTAACTGGGCGGTCTAGAGAATGGTAAGTAAAAATTGAACATGATTTAGCATGGATTCATACCAGTATTCCATTGGTTGAAACTCTGGTAGCGAGAACCTAATCATAGTGCAATGAGTATTTCTTACTCCATGATAGCTGAGTGGATGCTAACTCACGTGGAGTTTCAGAGTACAGTCGAACCATTAGAATTTCTTGTAGAGTGTATATAAGATGCAGTGAAAGAAGAGGTGTGAAGCAATGAGCCTAAGTGAATGTCATAATGCATATTTATACCATCTCTTCCGTTGCTGTTGCTTACATGCAGAACGATACTCAGCTGGATACATGAGAGAAAATACACGAAGGCATGCATCCAGATGAATGCCCCCAGTTTCCAGAACCAGTTAATCTATCAAGAATCCGTACATATCACTTACAGGTAACATATGGTCTTTGATCGTGAGAGCCTAACTAAACCTCTAAAATTTCCTGCTATTGTAGTAATTCGAATCCTATCAAGTCTCGGTTGGTGGCTAACCATCGATAAGTGATGATTAGTCTATTTATTGTTATCACTTCTAACAAAAATGACTACAGAGAACAATTGAAAATAACGGTTACAGAGCCACCACACACTTTTGGATAGCATTCTCATGGCGATAGCGCTTATCAGTTGGCAAGCAGGAGAACATTACTTGAAAGAATGATAATGACAGCCGTTCGTTGATATTTTTCTCTGTCTTATCGAAGCATCTAGTATAAATTTCTCATGCTTCGAAGGATGTTGCAGCGAATCAAACGAATAGAAGCCGTTCGCCTGAACTAATTTTCTAGGTAATCATATGCCTATTTACAACTGTTTGCGTTCCATCACAGGCTATAGAAAGGCTGAAGTTGCTTGATGCTGGAGCAACCTGATCTTTGATGTCTATCGAACCTGACTTCCTCTATATTGCTTTTATCGTTGCGGCGCGACAAGATTATCGCTTCCCAATGTTGGGATCTACTCCTTCCGATCATGTCACCGCAGGACAGAACCGCGCTCGAAGAAAAAAGCTCTGAGCTTTTATCATTCCTCACTGGCTCAATCCCACCAGTTATATCTGTACTCAAATATGATGAACAAGCAGCTGGTAATCCACTTGTCTAGATTCGCATTGATGCACATGTCACTTCCGCTTTAGAACGTGGCTCCCCAGGGCTTCCGTTCTTTGCTCTGGCATTACTCATTCATGGGTTAGCCCATGCAACGAATAAAAGATATCATGGGGGCAATCCGGTATCGACTCGTTGTGATGTGAAGGAATTTTACGATCTTGGATATCAACTCGAGACAGAGTTTTTTGGTGGGATAATTGGCATAGTCTTCAAGAATGGTACTGTCAAAGACCAGCAGCTCCCAGAGATTTCGTATTTCACCCTCCTTTCTCCTGAGAAGAAGATATACAAGATTGATATGTTTTGTGCTGAGTTAACACCTTACCGATTAACACAAATTTATGCAGATATGGATGATGCAGCGACTTGGGACAGTAGAGCGGATGGAAAACTTGCCCCTTTTGATTTTGACAGGCTCGAGGACCTGAGCATGACCGTTCTAGATTTCTTTGCTCAAACGTGTACCGCTGTGAACACTTCATATGCGCCTGTCAATATTCGTCCCCATCGGCGTCGTCCGCGCCTTGTTAAAATCGGAAACCTGTATATATTTCCTACCCAAGGCTGCATGTGTCGCTAGATCGATGGCTATATCGACCTCAGTGAACACATGGCCGTTCCAGAGGCAAAATAATGGGCGAAATTGGTGATTGTTTGAGCCTTGGTTGAAACTAAATTATGATGAATCGCTGTTATATGTATGACATTTTGAATGAGGGAATTGCGAGGTTCAGACATTGCAGATTGCCATTCGAAGAACTAAACGACACATTCAAGTTTGTCCAAATCTGAGTACGATGGATTTCTAGGTAGAAATCGAAAGCGCCACTACAAGAAAGGTGGCTTGAGACTGGCCTCATTGAGAATAGCCAAAGAACATCTTGAGAAGAAAAATTCGAAAGTTCTAGCTAGTCTCAATGCTGTCTGCTTTTCTCTTTCTCTCTGTGGCATTGTCCCTGTATAGGAATCCCCAGCCCGTCACAGGATTTCTCCCGGATTCTTTCAAGGGACGAGCCCCAGCTGCATATTTGCAAAAGATGGCACTCGGGAGAATAGATCCTGATAACTCTTCGCTTTTTGACCATTCTTTCCTTCATTATTCATCTGTGTGATCTGTGAAAGTGTAGTCTCTACCCTGCTGGTACAGAAGCTTAGACGAGACCTACCTTTATCAATTATTGTCGCATACTGCACCTATTTTTGACTCCTGCCAGCCTCTTCTGTGCTCTTCGTCCTTATGTTCGCGAACCCTTGAAGAGATTACTCTATTGACGCCGCTCCTCTCTTGTCTGCTTTCCTCAACAATATCAGCCAAATACGGACACCAGGTAATGGTCGAGGTCGAGGCATCTCCCGCCTTAGCCTTCCTGGTGTCTGGCATTCGACGACGACCACCACGTCAATCATTCAGTTCCGCTTTTCAATATTTCATTATAGCCGTTCCTGGCTGCGGCCGCCTCTTTCCTGAATCGAACCCTTCTGGACGACACCGAGTTTATTGCGAATCTTACTCACTGCGCCCGTTCGAAGGGATGATTGAGATGGTAATTTTATTTCAAACGTTCGAACTAGCACTTGCCAAGGATACCGTGCGTTCTCGGTTGGTGTACAAACGCTAGTTACGATCAGTCATCCAATGCGTTGCCACATAATAGTTTCTCGTTAACCAAGTGACACCGTTTGTTGTAGGTGGAAGCATTGTTAGTTTGAGACATAGCCACTAAGTCAATAATGACAGCTCTCTTGTTTTCTCCTCAGAGATGGCATATGAGTCACAGTGCGGTCGCCGAGAGAGGTGTCAGGGAAGAGTGGAAAGCTCTTATGCATTATATCCACAGATGCACGCGAGCTCCAATTGAAGATGCAGATGTGAATCGTTGATTTCGATTCTTGGGCGGATCGTGCTGATAAGATGGCTCCTCGGAAAACGAGGTCCCGCTATTTGAGAGGCAGCGAGGGTATTATATTGATCGAAGGTACTAATGGCAGGTAGACTTACATCCATACCCATACTTCCATTTAAAGCGGAGTCATGAATAGGCTCCGGATGAGGGGGAGTAGGGGGGGAAAGGATAAAGTGTGCTGAATGATGGTGGATCATTACTGACTACAAGATATTGAGTGCCAGCTAATGACGTAGCCCGGAACTTGTGCGTCCACGCACCCAGGTCGGAAAAAATTAGCTTACAGATACCGACTCGGATGATGATCAGCCCGGAGAGTCGGACTTGGTGTTGTTACGACGGGTCAGAATCAGATAGGTAGCGCGTTTAGATCAAGAGCGTCATGTGCAAGACGTTAGCTCATAAGGTATACTGCGAAAATTATGTAAACCGGGATGACATACTTTTCTTCTTCTCAAAGGAGTGCATGAGAGGGAAAAAAAAATTCTGTCACCCCCTTCAGCGTAGTTTGAGCGTGAGATACGACCGTTCCAGTTCAAGTGGCGCGAAATGACGTCATCAGAAAATTTGCTCTCACTCTCGTCCAGCTTATTTCTGGATAATCTTACTGGCAGCGCCACCTTCCTCCTTCTACGCGATCAGGCTCCCCAGCCTCGACCCTGCATTCATAGACCACCTTAATAATTGTCGCCTTTCCTTCCGAGTGCTGCCCTTTTCCGATGCTTCTTTCGTCCTTATGCTCATGAACTTTAACCTTGCAGCCACAATCTGAATAACGCCACTGCTTTCCTTCCTCACCTCTTGACCCCAAGCCTGGTAGCGAACGGCTCGGGTGGGTCACAGAGAGAATCTTCCCCGATTGACGGGCGCCACTCTCTCCAATTAGCCACTGTCAGTAGGACTCCACCTTGCGTTTTAATTGACTCATCTTCATGGTCAAATTTCAATTTCACTGATTGGCTTCCTCCCACTTTTTGATGGAGATGATTTGCGGTGCAACACCGGGTACTCGGAACCGAATGGTTGTCAGGCCCCACGCATATGTCATTGTCAATCACCTGATGTTGTATCGTGTCCCTGCGGGGAACAGGATACACCATATAGACTTCTCTTCGTTCAAAAGACCGCAGTCCACTGTTCCCATGGTGAGAAGGATAAGAACCGTATATCGGTGTTGATACTATCCCGGACAAGCACTGTCGTTACATAGAGAAGTAAATGAGTAAGTATCGAACTAGCCAGGGGCGCATAGCAGCCGGACTCCGAGTCGGACAGTGATGACAGACAAAACAAGCTAGTTCTTTAACCAAGCACCCGGTTTGATGTGTGACTTAATGACATTGATTGACGAAGAACGTGTGATCCCTCCAAATAAAACGCGAAAGAAGAAGAAAGACAACAGAACAATGCATAGGACCTCGGTCAATGATCCCTCGAATGCGGACCGACGGCATGATTGGACTCGACCCCGGTGGTACGCACATCACTTAACCTGTGTGTATCAAAGGCTCCCTCATCGTACCCACGAGATCGATTCTCCTCTCATGCAAGTCGAGGCCTGTGTGGCAACTGCTCCTCATCATCATCAGAGGACATACTCGACGAAGACGTATTCTCGAGTTTGTTTATGCGGCGTTTCTGGTAGGGATGGTATGAACGCACCGAAGACGCTAAGGAGGGCGACGATGAGGAGGAAGTTGGGATGAGAGATGCTGTTCCAGGGTTAGCATGGTTTCGGTAGTGGTGGCGCATGTTGGAGTTGATGTTGAATTCCCTACCGCATCCGGGGAATGGACAACGAAATGCTACGAAAAATATATTGGAAACCAACTGAACGTGTAGAATGCAACTCACGGGTAGCACCCGTATGCGTGTGAACGTGTATCCTGAGGCTACTCGGCCTATTGAACGACTTGTTACAAGTCGTACAAATATACTTCCTTTCCTCCCTGGTCAGGACGTCATCGTCCTCTTCGCTTGACGTGGGAGTTGACGTGCGACGTCGTGATGAAGACGACTGTAGTTGGTCTTTGGAGGGGGTGGAGGGAGGATCGGACCGGAGCACCTTGAGAGGGGCTATGTTCGTCGGCGGCGTGTGGCGAGCATGGGAAGTGATCAATGTCGGTGGGGGGCTATCCAGCAGGTGCTCTGTAAGCCAGCGACTGGTTAGCTCATCATTAAAGATGACCAAGACGGAGAGATGTTTACCTGGAAACATTTCGTTTATACTGGGCAAGGAGATCATAGTAGGTGGCGGTGGGTGGAAAGACGGAACGCCAATCAGCCACAGTAGTGTCTCTTTTCTAGTCTTCGGCAACTATCCGCAGGGTCGATCTAGATGTATTTTAAACATCTCCTTTCGTAGCCTCATTATACGTTCGACGTGAACGCTCGCGGGTACGCCGGATCTCTAGGCCAAGGGCCTATGGCGTCGGGTGAGAGCCGCAGTCTGAGTCAATGTAACGCAGGCGACTTTTCAGTAGACATCTAATAGAAAGTAAGCAAGACACAGGTAATGGAGAAAATATGCCAAAGGTGTAACGTACCAGTTATTAATCAACTTTGATGTCTTGCCTTGCTTCGTCACCCGCGGGGACCGAACACATCATGGAAACTGCAACCTGCAAGTTTTCCCAGTAAACCCGGATATATCTGTTCTCAGCCTGTTATACCCGCTAAACAACGCAGGAAAATATACGTAACGAACCGACCTGAAAAGAGTTACACAGACGTGAAAGAACTTCGAAGCTGATATGAATTTCCTAACTTCCAATCAGCAGCGAGACAAAATATTCAATTTGTGAACTGCCATTGATACCGAATCCTATGAAAGCTGGTATTATTCCAGGGCCCGTTTTTTTACATTCCAAAGGAGCAAGGTTCAAGATGTACGAGGAAAGTTAAGCAAAGATTTTCACGGGCTGAATGATATAACATGGAATAAGACCCAAAACGGCGTGATGTATGTCGACATTTACCATGCTTTGGTGCTGTTTGGTGCTTTCATCGAAGTTCGAAGTTCGACTATTCTCGTTCAAAAGCAAGTTCTGTCGCGTAAGTCAACGTCTAACGGAGACTTTCATTCACCTCTCTTCATGATGCTCGTCGAATAGCCTTCTTCCGCTATCTCGGTCCTTTGTTCAAGCAGACTTGCGCGTATGTGAACACTACGTATGCACCTATGAACATCGGGCCTCATCGATGTCGTGATGCACCCTACAGGATCGGAACACGATAATTTTGCCTTAGGCTACATGCGTCGATCTAGTCTATGTCCCAGTTCTCTTCTAGCTACGAGTTTGTGAATGTATTGTTTAGCTGTGTGGTGATAGAAGTGGTGGCGTAGTTATCAGTGCTAAGGCCAACGCGAGAGAAGGCCCGTATGATATCAGACTGTGCCCGAAAGACCAGCAGTGTCAGCCTAGATCATGACAGACGATCACAGTCACGGTAAAGAGCAGCTCCTGCAGCTCCTGTATGCAGCTATTTGGCCTTAGCCTCTTCTTCGGCCGCCTCTTTCCGAGCACCTGCTAAACCGCTTTCTGTGCGAGCGTCATTTTGTAACATATAACTGTTTTCGATGCGCAAGAAAATCTCTGCCCTGAGATAAAAAAGAGGACATCAAGAACGCGAGTCACGTTGCCCTTCCACTCCCGTCATTTTCGCTGATTCGTTCCTTTCCTTTTCACGACTCTTAGGTTTGTCAGATATTTTTTTGGTGTGGGTCTATCTTCCATCGTAGTCTTTTCTTAGAAAAAGTAATGTATAGCTTCACCCGATATTCCTGACTTTTCATTCATAGTTCCTGTTGCTAGCTTACTTCCGACGTTCGAAGCATGCAGCCATGCATACGAAGATCGTCAACGGAAATCCTTCATGAAGGTAGAGCACATGTTCCGGGCTTTCTTTCTTTGGGGGCCCCAACTATCCTTAATACGGCGGCTGGTTCGAAATGAACGTCCACCTACACATTCATTTTCATCTGGATCTGCCCCTCTCCGTGGCCTTATGATCTCCGTGTGTTTCTTTATTTGCTCTGTGTCCTACCTACTCATACTTCCACATTCCAGTCCGTTCTACTTTCTACACTGCCACGAGTGTCTACGATCAATTTAGTTCCCTTGTTTCATGTTTCATGTCTAATATCTTTTCTCGTGACTCGGGCGATACACCACCAGGTAACGAACCCGAGTGACCAAGTACGCGTTACCAGGGCGGACCTCGGATAGCTAACCGCCTACTTTAACATTTCGTGCTGGGATCTTTTGATTTTAGTCCTGACATGCTTCCTCATCTAACTGGGACCCAATCAGCTCTCTCTTCAAACGGCGGACTCTTCTCTAATCATCCCCATCCCGCCCTACGCGGACACACATTCGATTTCTATTTCTCGTGAATAGCGGATTTCCCGAGCGGGCATGCCGCCTGTAAAAACTTTCAAGTTACCCATTGGTTTGTCGTTGCCAAATTTTCCCATGTCATTCACTAGTTCTACCCAAAGGTACCGAATATAGGCTTGCTATCTGTCCGTCCGTGAGGTCGTGATGATGAAAAAGGCAGACGAGCCCGTGAGCGGCCTTTCGATCACAACCTCGACGGAATAAGAATTATAATCGCCAAAGAACCTGAAAGATCATTGAGGGCATAGAGTGCCAATGAACAAGGCCAAACGAGAATTGAAAAATCCACACAATTCCCCGGGCCCCGTCAGATTTCAAAGAGCCGGCTGCTACCTTCAGTAGTAAAGAAAGAGAATACCGACTAGTCTGAATTTGACACGGCAGAATGAAATCACATCATGCTGGGTTTTGTGTACATTTGGTATTCTACGTCGCCGTCGGTGGTGATAGTTTTCCAGCTTGCTTTTGGTCATGATTAATGGATGTCATATTGAAAAGATTTTTTTCCCCCGGTGGAAGCTCGACATGAATCAGGACTTTCTTCTTCCTTCTCTCGTACTCGGAGGTTGAAAAAAGCGTACCATCCAAAATTTCGCCGGAAGGGAACAAGAGGGTAATCTAACCCGTCGTGTCATTTAGCCCCAAAGCCCTACCATACAGTTTGTTTGTCCCATCAACTCGAAAGTATACGAAAAGCCCCCTACCACACCCACGTTTGGAAGTAAGAAGAGAACGCCACACCAGCCAAACCTGAATGGGACCTTCAAAAATTAGAGGGTTGCCCTAAAGTCTACGCGTGATCGGATCAGGTTCAGGTTCATTGTTCTCTCGTCGAAAAGTGCGTTGGGGGTCTAACATCCCAAGTTTAAGTACGCGTTCTCGGCCACGCGAAACGGTAGGGCTAACCTATCTCGCCGTTTAACTGACTCTCCGCGTAATCCAATTTGTTTGTCCCCATCGGAATACCTGACCTCAACCACGTTTGGAACTCACGACAAAGTAAGAAGAGAACGAATAGGAACCACTGAACGGACCTCACAAAAAAAACAGACCGGTGCCCTAGCTTTGGGTGGTAAAGGTATGGTTCAGCTCAAGTTAAGTACCCGTATACAAAACTCGAATGAATATACGGAGAAAGTTGTCGAAGAAACGGGGATAAAATGAACGAAGAATCATGCAGAATTTTGTCTTTGTAAACTATAAATGGTTTGTCTCCTCTAAAATGCTCTGGTGTTTAACACACGTTTAAGAAGCGACCGTGGGCACGTGCCAAGGTCGATTGATAAACGAACGAAATGGTAAGTCACGTGTCTCGCCGTTTAGCCGATAGCCCTACCTCCTAGATATCCGCTTTCAGCTGGGACAAGCTGCGCGCCACCAGCATTCGTCCCGACCAACATAGTCATGCACAAGATTCGCCTTTGGATAGCCTGAGTCGAGTTACTAGCCTGATTGGCTTTCAAAGTTTCTATCCTTTGTTGGTGTCCGTCACATTGTGGTAGCAAAGAAGCTGCCAGCCTTCCAAGAAAATGCGGCAGTCGATTAGCTATGTGCAATATTCATGCTCAATGATGGATAATATCTAACCTAAATCGTTATAGTTGTCTCTTTCGTGATGTCGCGATCGGTTATTTCGTAATGTAGCACTGGTCTTTCCGGATTATCCTTCTGGTACCACAAAGAAACTATCAGAAAGAGCATAGTGCGTACACTCATGTATCTTATTATATAACTGACCTTTAGCCGATGTGGCGGTGACATGAATACAAGAGCATGACTTTGGTCACGTCCCCTTCCCTCAGCCTCGATACAAAACGTCATCAGAGATAGACTTCCCTTTCTCCGAATAGGAGTACACATCTCATTCTTCCCACGGAACATCTCTCTTCTGTCATTCGCTGCACTATGTCAACCATTTGTATGCGCTTCAGACTGCTAAACGACCTTTCGGTATTCTCATGCACCAGTCTGTAGAACGTCCCGCATCCATCAGATCTCTCGTGCAACCCAACACTGGCCCCAATCACACCACTGTATACAACTCCACCTGTCGTATGTTTTCTTCGGTGTCGTCCTCGAAGCCCATTATCAGTCAATTAAGAATGCGAAAACAGGCGCCCTATTTAGTCTCCAGGTGCAGACCTGCCTCTTATCGTAACCATATATCCGTTATTATTTTTTTTTGGACCATAACCTCCACCTTTCACGCTGGATGACGTCAAAATCTCTATGAATCTAAATCGTACTCTTTGACTATATTCTCTTTAACCTTAACTGAAAACTCGAAGCTCTCCCGACATCTGCTCAATTTAGGGGCGTGACAGAAATCGAGAGCGATCCTAATTCACTCCCCTGACTCGAAATATAGTTTGGCCCTCTGATTTGCGGATGTGGTCGGGACTGACTGGTTGTCAGGCACGTCACTATTCTCCACATCGGCATATTTATGTTTACCGTTTATCCGGTGCATAATATCTGTATCATTCTTCTTCTCCCCGTCCGCACCGAGGGAACGACATTCCTCCCACACAGGCCGGAACGTGAAACTTGGCGCCTCCTTTGCCTCTTCGTCATCAGAAGAAGACGTCGAACTCTGGGGCGTATCCGTTCTGCGTATCTGGACTTTGTGGTCGGGACGCGATGGGTGGGGGGAGGGCGGGCGCGAGGACGAGGTATTGGGATGGTTTCTATAATGGCGGCGCATGTTGGATTTCACGTTAAATCCCCTGCCGCAGCCGGGAAATGGACGTGTAAAAGCTAAGATGGATTCAAAGACGAAATAAGAGGAAAGGAGGAATTGTTGAGTGGACTCACGTATAGCACCGGTGTGGATGTTAGTGTGTGTTCTGAGACTGCTCGGGCTGTTGAAGCCTTTATCGCACTCTGTACAGACGTGCTTTTTTCCTCCCTTGCAGCGGTCATCTTGACTGCGTATGCTAGCGGACTTTCGACCTCGGACTTGTTGATTGGTGAAAGTGGTGTCTGGGAGGAATGGATATCGTGGGTTTGTCCTTGCGCATGATGTGTGGGGACGGTTAAGAATCGGCCATAGTGTGTGTTCTGTCAGCCATCCATTAGCTAAATTACATACACGATGGACGACTACTACCTGGAAACACCTCATGGATGCTCGGGAGGTTGGTCATCGAGAGTTAGGGGCACTGAAGGAAATACCGACATGATAGTATAAGTTATGGTCTCTGTGCCTAGATTATAAACTGTACGCATTTTCACGGTAGTATCCCTTGGTGGACCCAGAGCTGTTTCTGAGATCGGAAACATCGAGGTCTATGGAGAAACATGATCGATGAGGAGCAAATCAGTATGAGTATGAGATTGTCTCATATTCCAGCCAGGGGTGGATGCACAGACTGGATACCAGTCTGATGTGCTGGTCAGCTGCTAGGTCCATTGCCAGGAGGTTGAAACCTCTAGAAAGAAACAAGGAATCACATGAGGAAGGACACAGGATATCATATGAGACAGCATGTGGTATGAGGGAGCTGCATGCCAGTGGGGACCCATGATAGTCTCATGATAAAGAGGGGATGGTATGGAATACACCCTCTTGGACCTAGCGAGATGGTCCCACCATCTTTTTGTTTGGATAATATTTACAATTTTCCTTCATATAATTCATTCCAATTCTTTCTGCTGCTCTCAGAGTTTGAATGATGTAGCATAGGCTTTGGCTGTGGGTGAATCATTCACATTCTAGCAGGAGGTAATTCTTTCCTGATTTATGGCTGCCTTCAATTCTTATCTATACCTAGAACATTGTGCCCATCCCTGTGTATGTCTGCCCAAATTGTAATCTTCCAGGTTTCCAAGATGCTACTCACTCCATAAGAGTCTGTTACAATTTTTCACCTTTTAACTTCTCATTCACTGAATTAACCCCTATTTATGCTTAGTCAGGGCACCTAAGACCAGCGCTTGAGATTGTGGGACAGGCTTAGTCAGCACAAGCCTAGTCAGTCATTGTCTCTCGACACAACCACAGTTGCCTGATGATGCACAACAAACCTTTTGTGAACAGTAACAATGCTCAAGGACAATGGACACAGACACTTGACAACATACAATAGGCAGTAGTATAATTAGCCATGACCTGTACAGTATATAAGATAGCTCACTCTCACTGGTATATCCCCAGCTTCAAGCTAAAGCTTATTCCATCTCATTCTACTCTTGAGCTATCTCTGCAAAGGCCTTGAAGCATATTGGTCAATAAAGCACAATAAGTGAACTCTAGTGGAAGTCTCAAATGCAAAGGCACACTAGTTTGTCATGTGTTACTGATCACATGCAGCTTGAGTCTAACAGAGTCCTGGAATTACACCTCCCCAATGGACCATGAAAAGGTGGGATCTTCAACCACTGTCTCCTTGTCTGACAATCCAGACATCCTATCTGTTCTTAACTCCTTTGTGAGTTGAAGTTCATATCCAGGCCACCAAGAGTATCCTTCACCCAATCCATTGCCTTCCAGATGCAGCATGTGCTGACCAGCGATCATCCTTCATTTGGTGACTCTCAATGTACCAAAAGGATTGCAGTGGGAATTATTGCATATGTCTAGTTATTAGTGCTGGATACTGCTAAGCCATGACTTTGGTATGAATAGTATGTGCAATTACTGTACATGCTCGGGCTCATGCTTCAAAGGCCTCACATTCATATGGTGATATGTAACAAGGAGGATAACTCTTTGTAGAACAGGCTTCCTGTTCTCCTTGCACATGTGGAGATTTGGACTGTATCCAGAGTACATACCTTTAGTCTTTGGGTTACAAACTCCTGAGGAGTTTCCTCATTGACTTCTCATATTTATACTAGACTACACCTTTTCTAGTGATTTCTATCTAATTCCTTCAATTTCCCTTGGATTCTTTCCTTACTCAGCATGCTGGAATGCCGGAATGCTCGAATTCTCTCGCAGATTCCAACAGCACGGAATTGACTTTGTTCAGTTCCTGCATCTCCCTGTCTGCCTTCCATTTTCTGAAGCTCCCTATCCCTGTTCCGACATCTCTTTCTCAAGTTCCACCTGATGTCTCTGAGGTCCGCTTTTCCAATATTTCACCTCTGCTGCGATGTATCATGGAGTTGACTTTCGTCGGCTTTCTTTCCCTTCCGGATCAAGTACTCATCTAACGATATGATCCTTGATGTACTCCAGAAAGTATCCTCAGCCGAGACTGTCACCATTATTACCAATGGTCCTCCCACTGAACTTCTCCAGCCAAGTTGTCGAGCTTCCTTACCTGGAAAACCTCATTTCGAGAAAAATCATATGATGCACTCGCCAATGGTCCATCTTGATAGAGTCGCATCGGCATGACATAATATGTACGCGACAATCTTTCTACTTTCCTGCCATCTACCCGGCGCTGTCATTGACACGGTAAAGGGTTTTATATTGTCGCCATTGCAGGGATACAGCACAATGCGGATGAGCGCTTTTCTCTGGTCATATAGCGCACCAATGGCAATATTACAATTGCTTATCCGAAGTTGTTTCCGCTCGGTACTTCGTGTCATAAACTCCATTTCCAGCGGCTCATGTTTTGGTATATTAGATTTAGGAATTAGGATATTTCCGTTGACCGGTGAATCATCAGCAAATTGGCTATCTTCCTTGGCCACAAATGTGTTAGATTTGGAAAGCACACTGACTGCGGCACGGTAACCTTTGCTAAAGTCATGGTAAATGACTGTAACGTGTATTTTACACAACTCAGCCTTTGCCTGAGTCACCGTCCAGGAGGACAGCCGTTACTTTCGCAGACCAAAGTTACTGATAGATACCCATTCATAATTTACTCCGACACGTAGGGCCGCTCTTTGATAGCGCCAATCTATCCTTGATCCACTGGAATCCAGTGCGCTTCTTCAGAGTTTAGATCTGATGGCTCGATAGCGATGCAAAACTCGTTCTGCCCATCGAACGCGTTAGGCTATTTCCACATACAATCGGAATAGCCCTCTTTTCAAAATGCTTTCCCATCGCTCGCTCCATTGAATGCTCCACTTTTTTTTTGGCACCGTCCTGAACTCTTTCGGACTGGGTCTGCAATTTTGTATGAGTACTCTCGCCGCGAGATCGCTGAATGAGAATGAGTGGCTCTGAAAGCATCCTCGGAACTGATATGATTATCTGTCGTCGAAGGTGGGTGATCCTTCATATCAGTAAACGGGTACTGACTACAGCCACCGCGCGGAATTACGGCCGTCTATATCAACCTGTTTCAAGAGATGTTATTTTGTTTCAGAGACGCGGTGCCATGTTGAAGGCATCCGTATTTGATGTTAGTTATTTTTCCATCTCTGGGCCTTCCATGCTGAAACCGTCTCGTACTGCAGTCCACCACCCATATTCAGCGCCTCATGTGTATCGAGAATACATTGATGGATGTTGAGTATTCATCACATCAGATTCCTTCTGAGGTTGCCCATGTGGACACACGGCAGCAAAAGATCGGGTTTATCGATGAACAGCCAGTGGATCAGGTGATGAGGCCGCGAACGCAGTTGCTTCTCCCAATTTACTTTCCGCCTTCAGCGTCAAGTTCAAGCGCGTTGCAAGGAAATTTCAGCCCCCCCCCCTCCCTACTTTCTCACCAAGTAGGACTCCGAGGCAGGATCCTATCAGTTCCATCAATTTCTTGTGCGTCATCACTCAATCACCCAAACGTCAGACAGCCGATTTTATTGGTCAGGAAAATGACCCTATACTGGTTTACACTGCCCTTTGATCTTTGAAATTATGATATTGTTCGGGGCGCTTAACGAAATTCATAAATGACCTGGCTGATGAAGACCTCTTGCAATTCCACTTACTCCTCCCTCATGTCGACTCCGGAACTTCCAGACGCATGCGCCGACTATCACAAATGCACACTCACAGCATCGTCCATCACGCAGACGGTTGTCGATTCAGAAGCTGAACGGCCTCTCCCCGAAAGCATACCAAAGACTATTCCTTCACAGCACGAATTCCGTACCTTAGTGCTCTGCTTTGACGGTACCGGGGACCAGTTTGACGCCGACAATTCGAATATCGTACAGCTCTGTTCGTTGCTGAAGAAAGATGATAGATCTAAGCAGATGGTCTATTATCAGGTACGAATTTGATAAATGACTTGGACACAGTTAATTAATGGGTCTTTCAGGCCGGGGTGGGTACCTACTCACCGTCTCAAAGTCCAAACCTTCTCACATCAAAAATATACAAGGTACGAAGGATATGGTTCCTTGCTTGTGTTTGGAGAATTGATCCCAGCGTCGTGGGTAGACTGTTGATCTCATGATAGCTTGGAGCATTGACACTCATGTCAGGGGTACGCCGATCTCTGCCTTTGTATCTACTTTGACATGATCTTAATGCCTTCAAGCTAGATGGTTATCGATTCTTGATGCAAAACTGTACGTCCCTGTTCACCCTTAGCCTGGAGTCCGTACTGATAACATGTGTAGATCATATTGGTGATCACATATGCATCTTCGGTTTCTCACGCGGGGCGTACACAGCCAGGAGGTATGAAGTATCAATCACTGTTCCATGTTAGAGACCATGTTTTTAACGCCATGGCCAGTCTCGCCGGGATGATTCACAAAGTAGGCTTACTACCGCCGGATAATTGGCAACAAGTCCCTTTTGCATACAAAATGTACACTCGGGCAGACGAGATTGGATGGTCACAGTCCACGGCCTTCAAAAAGGCATTCTCTATTGATGTTCCAATAGAATTCGTAGGAGTATGGTGCGGAACGGCCATTTATCGCCTCTGTTCCCGTGCCTGATTTTAGATGTTTACAAACAGGGACACAGTTGATTCAGTGGGGCTCATCCCGAAAGAATTGCCTTTTGTGACCTCCAATACGATCATTCGGACCTTTCGACATGCAGTGTCTTTGGATGAACATCGAGCAAAGTTCAAAGCGAACCTGTGGAATAGGCCGAGTGCGAGAGAGTCACTGTTGTGTACACCGATGTCATGCCCGGTGAACTCCCGTATGAATACGACCAATTCTATCTTGCGTAGACCATGGTATGCACATGGAATGGAGCCAGGGATAGAATGGCGTCCAGAAGATGAGAAACTATTGGAGGAGATGGAAAAGCTCTATTCGTCGTCTTCCGCGCGGCCCACTGATGTTGAGGAGGTTTGGTTTGCGGTGAGTTTTCAGTTTGCATCACTACATATTCCAGATCCTCATAGAATGATCTCTCGCTGCTAAGGGATGCCACTGTGGTATGTAATTTCCCTCCGCTCTTAACCGACACTGGCCACTAACGATTACATTACAATAGATGTCGGGGGCGGTTCTGTGAAGAACTCGACGCGCTATTCGTTATCACGAATTTCTTTGCGATGGATGATTCGAGAGTGCTTCAAAGTGAAGACAGGAATCATGTTCGATTCAGAGCGCCTAAGACAGATAGGTCTCGATCCTACAACATTGTATCCTTTTGTTATGCCACGGCCGCCGGCGCTATCGGTGGGGTCTGCTCTGATACCAGCGGGACGGACGAAGAAGTCGCTAGTGAAGAGGATCATATCTGGATTTCATTGTCGAACTCAGCCAGTGCCCGGTGGTTCCGACAAGTGTAAAACTTTAGTTCAAGATATTGATGATCAATGTCTCCCAATTGGAACCGAAGAAGAGGAGGAACTTCAGGACGCATTGTCGGTCATATACGATCAACTCAAATGTTCGAAATCGTGGTGGATTCTTGAGATCATTCCTATGGTCTTCCGACAGCAGAAGGAGAATGACGAGTGGGTGTCCTGGTTTGGGTACGTGCCAGGATTTTATCGCCTACCATTCTGACTGAAAAATGAATTTCTAGGGTGAATCTCGGACGGCCTCGAGAGATTCCAATGCCATACAGAGTCAAGGTCCATCGTAGTGTCCGTATGCGGATGGAGGCTTTCCATGAGCATGACTGTCGAAAACAGTATAAACCGAAGGCTCATTTCGAAAAGCCAATATGGATAGATGATGATGTACCTTTGCAAGCTGAACAGAAGAACTGAAGTCTACTATTCTTTTTGCAGTGCTGTACTTTAATTCATAGGTCAGTCACCTATTCCGTTTGAACGCAATTATGAGAAGACTAGGAATGCATTGTATGGCTCAGATCATACATAGTAGTTGCCTGGATGGTGGATAGATTGGTCCTAGTAGAGAGGGCGGGAAGTAATTCTGTGTTGTCCTTAACTGTGTTTGCGGAGGTGCCTATAGATGTGCTGCTATCTGGCATTTACCAGGACGCTGATGGGAGAGAAGGACGATGAGATGCTTTGCAGACAGTGGATTAGTGTTGACTTACCACGAGAAATTCCGGGGAATAAAATTCGCCATTTTAGATGGGTTTCTAGCGGCATCATTACTCGTCAGGACGTTCTATTTGTGAAGGAGAGTACGGCCTACCTGGTCAGGGTACTGTTTTGGCTTTAATCTGAAATTGAGTACAGTAAGATACCAGGCGGGCAGGTGATTGTTTCTATGAAGAGGACAACTGCATTTGCTTCGCTACTCGTATTATTAAAACCTCAGAGTTGGTTGACTATTGATCTCCAGGCCGATTACGGACCAAGGCGCGACCATCTCAATGCGGATGTCTGGGCTATCAGAGGCGCGATATTCATGAGCCATTTCGATAATTCTAGTATCAAGAAAGATTCAGTTGAGATCCGATGACTGGTTACATCATATCTGGCACAGAAATAACATGCTAGCACTACATCGTTTCAATGAGCAGTACTTATGCCTCCATCTACACCTTTAATGCATCCACCTGGGCTTGAAAAGACTCGGCTATATCATTTCCGAGCGAGTCCTTCACTATGCTTGCCAGCGGCCATCGAATGTCTCCCTCGACTCATAATACGATTTGCCTTATCTGTCACAGACATTGTCTCCGGGGTTATAGTATCTTATATAGTAAGAACAAATATATGTAAATACCAGGTATTGATATAACCGGTGTATAACCGGAGCGTACCGGTCTTGTATTCCATGCCGATTAACTCCGCAATTTGTGTGCACCGGTCCACATTCTGTCAGACTTGCAACCAGGCCCGAACAAGGTCTAAATTGAAAATTCTCCACAATACCCTTTTTGATCTACCAAGATGCTTCTAATGTTGAGACCTGTGCTTTATAACGACGTAAAACATTATCGTTTGGCAATTTGGAGAAATTTTACTAGAGTCCTGTCCAAGGATGATTGCAGATCAGTCAGTAATACCAACTCTAAGATATTCTTTCCCTGCCTGACATTCTGTCATGATAGATGCGGAGCAGTGTATATTCGAGGTCGCTCTCAGACAGTGGACCTCCTTCACGATGCTGTATATCCATATCGTCCTATAGGACTGTTCTCTTCAGAGCAGAAGGACCAGCCTTTGCTGTCTTGGCTCACAGCGCTAGCCTCTTTGCTTTGATTTTACTCTTCGATTTGCTAAACCCCGGATCAGTCAAGTCACATTTGTTTGAACAATCTCTTCATCTCTGGTTTAGACCTGTGAGTCACGCATTATGCTGTTGGATTGATTTGCATGGAAATTTGGTGCTGCGAGAATCATTGGACTGTTGATCTAATTTTATGCTCATTCAATAGCATGCGATGTCATTCTTGATCAATTTGATCAATATTTCTAGGCCAGTTCCCGCGAGCTCGCCAGGACCGTATTAGCAGAAGGTCATTTCATTTTATTTTAATGCTGGACAGGATTGGGATGATGTATGTAGCCCGTAATTGCAACGCCTTGTCTGGGATGGCTCATAACACTCGGCAGGATACATCATGACCTTACATCAAAGTAGCGAACAGAAGCAGACTTAAATTCGGGCCGACACTACAGATGAATAAGCGTCTGGTCATGGGTGGTTTCTGTGGGAACGTTGAGAGCCGATGATTAGTGATAAACATGACGAGATTTTGAATAAGCAAGGAAATCGTGGGCTTAAGAAGTTGCCGCCTCCCAGCAAGAGAATACAAAATGTCTCTCCACAAACCTGCCAGCGACCCCCCGACGAATTTGGGTGTCTATCGCGTACTCTCGGCCCAAGCTGGCGTGAGGGTATCCCCTATCACGCTTGGTGCGATGAGCGTTGGCGATAAATGGGTACACTTCCTGTTGTGAAATACTGGTTTTGGTCTCACGGGTGCGATAGGAAGAACTGGGGATGGGTTCGATGAACAAGGAGTCCAGTTTCAAGCTGCTGGATGCGTACTTTGATATGGGTGGAAATTTTATCGATACGGCTAATGGCTAGTACGTTGATGTATTTTGTGCTTTCTATCCTTCCGCTCATGATAATGCCGCCAGTCAAGATGGCTCTTCTGAAGAATTCATCGGGGAATGGGCCGAGAAGCGAAGTATCCGGGACCAGCTCGTCATAGCAACGAAGGTGTTTCCATTCGCTGTCTAGCATGAACCTCGTCCTTATAAATCACAGTACACGTCGAACTACAAACGCGGCGACGATTCAATTTCCCAAAAAGTCAATTATATTGGGAACAGCTCCAAATCCCTATACCTCAGCGTCGAGGCGAGCCTCAAGAAGCTCCGTACGGACTATATTGACATACTCTACCTGCACTGGTGGGACTGGGAGACGTCTGTTCGCGAAGTAATGGATAACCTCCACCATCTTGTCGCGCTCCGCAAAGTCCTATATCTTGGCATATCCGACGCACCCGCATGGGTCGTAGCTCAGGGTAACCAGTATGCAGTCGATCATGGGAAGACTCCGTTCGTTATATACCAAGGTCGGTGGAATGTAATGGATAGGTCATTTGAGCGGGACGTTATACCCATGGCGAGGGAATTTGGGATGGCGCTCGCTCCGTGGGATGTACTCTCATCTGGGAGATTCAGGACGGATGAGGAGGAGCAGAGACGAAGGGAGACTGGAGAGAAAGGGAGGACGATAACTCGTCCGAACTGGGAGAGGACCGAGGTAGAGGTGAAGGTCTCTAAAGCGCTTGAGGTCGTTGCTAGTGAGGTTGGTGCTCAGGGAAATATCACTGCTGGTGCGTTTCGTTATTATATTGCAGCGATTCTCTCACTGTTGTTTATGCTAGTCGCTATCGCGTATGTTATGCACAAGGCCCCGTATGTGTTTCCGATCATTGGAGGCAGAAAGGTCGAGCACCTCAAAGCGAATATTCAAGCACTGGGCGTTAGGTTGACGGAGAAACAAATAGAATATCTCGAGAGCATGGTACCATTTGATCCTGGATTTCCATCGTCGATGATTGTGCGTTTTTTTTATGATGAGGTTTAATCTCTCTGACGTATTCCAGGGCGATGGAACAACCCATGGTAGGATGTTGCAAGCTGCAGCCAAGATGGCGAAGCTACCAAAGCTGCAACCTATTCTACCTTGAGCATTTGAGCGTTGAAGGAGATCGGATTAAACTGCTGTTCCTATGCGAAATGTCGACTCATATTTCTTCTCATTTCTGTTGAAGAAATCCTGGTATTCTTGTATTTTTATGGAGTATCATTTGTGGTGGAGGACATGCTGTATAAAGAAGTGAATAACTGAAACTATACGCATGCTCGATGGTTATTACAGGAACAAGTCCCACAGCACAATTTGTTCTAGGATATATCCATACTTTCTTCCAGGACTGAAATGTTTTGTCGCGGCATCTGCTTTAACCTCCACCTTCATTAATAGCGTCTGCGTGCATGAGGAAACCAAATCAACAAATGTCTCATCAATACATTTAACGGTGATCAAAATCCGATTCATCCTGTTGTTTCGGGGGACGATTGCGAAGGACAACTCTCGGAGATTGGACTAACTGTGTTCCGACATCATTGACGTCCGTCATTTGTTGAAAAATGATGCGGAAACACATCCTCTTCGTTCTCCTGATTCTCCCAATGAAACAATTGGAACCTTAGCCCGTGAGCGCCGGGACCAGAGGTAGGACATCCAATATGTGACTCCTAATCAGAGCATGGGAGATCATAAGCTTAGAAAGACTCCGACAGTCATGAACAAGTCACAGACATTTTCAAGCGAGTTGGTGGGACAGGATTTTTGGCTTGCAGGATCCAAGTGGCCGGTCTCCAAGTTCGGTGTCGCGATACTTTGAAACAAGTCTCTGTATGATCCTCGGAAGTGTTGTAGTCCTTTTAAAAACAATACAAGACGTCGCCGCATGCAATGCCAAAAGAGTGTGTGTGTGGAAGCTTGTGAATGTCCGCAAGTGGTGGCCTGAGTGAAGAATTGTGAGATACAAGTCAAGAATCACTGTCGGCGGCGACCTGTGGTCTTCTTACGGAACAGGGCAAGGATTTCACGAACCAAGGACTACATGGAAACCGCGATGTATCTTCACTATGCGTAAGTCAGGATTAACTTCGAATGTTGTAGTAGGTGGTGCGCTATGAGGGTCCGCGGTTGATGAGTGATTCGTTAGCTTCGGAAGACCCCCGCGAACATTATTCAGAAGCTTGTGGATCTCCAAAGACTGGTTTGAGAATTCAAAAGTGGGCCAGCACTCGGAGTGATCTATAGGTTTTCGGAAAATGGCACGCTTGCAAGATAGAGCAAGGCATATCCAGAGAAGGACGACAGGTTCGTTCTTCCGTTGGTATAAATGCCGAGTATCCGTCTCGTAATGTCTGTGGAACCAGGCTTGAAGGCTTACATTGTTAATGGTTCAGGCGTAATTTAAACATCCATGGCTAAACTGAGGATAGGTTTGGCCCCAGGAACTATTTTCATTCCGATGAACACTCGATACTGCAACAGCAACTTCCTACTTCTCTCTGTTAAATCTGTATTTCCTTGAAATACAGTCGTCTTGTTTCTGTATGATGAACATAACAGTTCAAAGTTCAACCTTCGAGCGACGATGGTAAGGCATGAGCGGGGATATCCAATAAGTTATTGCAATTCCTCCACAGCAAGTCACCGCAGCACTCAAATGTTCGTCTCCTTAATTGTTCCAGGCCTATAATATTTCAGCTCATAATTGTAGCGCCGGTTTTCCCACACAAGTCGACGTATGTCTGGAAAATATTCAGGTTATGTACGCATCAGGGAAGGAAAGTACTAATCACTGAATATTTCCGGTTAGGTTTGATATTATCCAGTCGAACCGAGGGTTCCAGTAAGTGGTCGCCATATGAATATGAGCAGGCGCAAGTTAATCGCGTCGTTCTATGGAAACAATAGGTGAGTTAACAGACATAGAAACCTGAGGTGCTACATACCGTTATTTGTTTACTGGGAATGAATCGAAGGTACCACTGTGCTGCTGTGTTTTCGAGAGAAGAGGAGAGGACCGACCGATGCGGGTTAAGAAGAAGACAGTCTAGACCACCAGAATTAGCACTGAGGCATCAAGGAAAATACACATACAATCAGGACGTTATTTCGGGGTGCGGATAAAGAGATCATCGACACAGGATGATGTTCACAGTATTTCATCAAGTTTGCCTGATGATGGATGAAAAAAACCGGCCCGAAAATGAAGGTGTGGAGCGATACATGGGGATCAAAGTTTTAAGAATAAAGACTGGCAAGAAAAAGACTAGCACACTGCATGGAAGGAAAAAGAAAATTTGTTGTGGATGATGCTGATGGATTTTTCGTCACATAGCAAGTTCTTCCGCCATCATCCCATCCTTCTTTTCCTCACTCATGCCCAATGTCACATCCAACTTTGAAGGCAAACCTGTGGAGACTGTTGTCAAAATTTTCCACTGAGAGAATCTGGACCAGGAGCTAAACTGAGGTTGCTGTCCATTCCCAAATCTATCTGGGCATGATTCATCCACAAAAAATACAGATCATCATTGAAATGCACTGCTCTCACTGAGAACTTTGAGGTTTCAAGACAAGCTCTCTGATGGCTAGGTTTGAGGGATGAGGACTTCATTGAGGAATTTTGCATTTCTCATTTCTTGTCTTCTACTGTGCTCCCATCATGGCATCTGTGTAGGACTCTTGATCTGGCTGCTTATTTATTACCGCAAGCATGCACCATAATTTCAGGGTCCATTCACCATGATTAAGATGTGGAATTTGGCATTCTTCTGTTCTCAACACCCAATGATTTCAAAATTTTCCTTCTCTATTTTTTTTTAATGCAGCTGATTGCAAGTCCTAGGGAAATATGTCAGTGTGAGCCCAATGAGGACATTGATAGGAATACAAAGCAAAACCCATAAGATTAAGTGGCTCCTAATTATCTGTTACTAGTTATGGATGATATCATGAGGCATACCAAAGAAACAACTGTATGGGTCACCCTCTAATATGAGAAGCTATAGCATTTTTTTTGCTTTCCAGAAATAGGGCAAGGATCCCCACTGCAGAGAGGTCAGAGGTGATGTTTCATTTTCCTTGTATGCTCAGCCAATATCCTCATGAACACAGGGATTATGAGCCATGTATATTTTGTTGTTCAGTCTCACAGTCAAAGATACACCTGAAATTATGAATAGCAGTGAGGACCTGAGAAAAAGTTCATGTGGTGCAAAATACAGAGATTATGAAACATACTCCATAAGTAGGTTGGCCTTTAGGTAGGTGCTATGGAAAAGTAGACAGAAATATATGTGCATACTGTCAAGAGACTGTAGAATAGTACTGATGACCTACATTATGAATGGGGATGAACCTCCATATAGATCTTGAACAGTTGTTACCCATATCCATGAATAAACAAGTGCTACCTCTTCCAGGAGAATGATTCCAAGTAATGGTATCTAGGATCTATTTAGTAAGTGTAGTTTTTGCTGGCCCAGCTATTGTTTTTGATGCAGATCAATCATTACTAGAGAATCCTTCACTGGTACTCTAAATCTGGTTATAATCAAGATACCCAATCTGTCATCATGTGTGAAGAACAGTTAGATGGTGATGGAAAATATGAAGTGCATCAGAAAGCTGCCTGATAATGAATGAAATATTAGACTAGTATTCTGGTGGATTCTAAGGATGGTGAGGGGTTTGAGTATTACTAAATCATGCAGAGTAGTAGAAGGGAATGAGATACACTTGCTAAGTCAAGAAACAAAACTAAATATTAAAGAATATCCAAGTTGAGGCTTAATCTCTAACAGTTACAAAGAGAATGTATTTCAACTAGAATCAGAAAATCATGAGAAAATCATGACCATCACTGTGTGGAATGCAAGTGTAAATACATGACATATTTGTGCCCCAGCCTCTGGATTTAGGTTGTAACTTTGGGTGAGAGAATAGACCTGTATTGATATTATTTCCAAGTGATTTGAGTATCACATGAGGTATCCAAAGCTAATGCAGGAATCTAGTCTGATTTAATAGATGGTTTTGACTTGCAATCTGGCCTGAGAATAAGAGAAAAGTGTTTTGAGGACACTCTTTTGAGGTATTTGTGACATGAGGCACTACAGGTGGCAGAGGTTCAAACCCTTTGGATCTGTGGATGGCATTTTATTGTGTCTTGTGTTTCTCTAGATCACATAGATTCAAACCCTGTGAGTCTACAATTATTTTAGAAGCTTGAGCACATAGTTTTAAACTCTGTGGCTCTTGTGGACATATTTGTGAAGTGTTTCTGCTTAAAGTGTGAAGATTTAAGTCATGGGTTGTATGTGTTAAGGTCTTTGAGTTTGGTCTGAGCATTGCTTGGGACTTATTAAGAGTTTTGTGAAAGTGTTTTGAAGTAGTGTGTTGTGTTACAATGCCTTGAGGCCCAGCAACATCCATTGCTTCTCTTGTTACACAAAAGCTTTGAGACTTAGAGAGATCTTGATTGTATATATATGCTATTGCTACTTGTGTATTGTATATTGTTGATGACATGATTGTATTAGCTCCAGCTATTCCTATCACATCAGAATTCTCCAATGAACTTAGAGTGTTGTCTGTGTGTGTTGATGTAAGTGTAATCAGTGTATAGTTCTATGCTGTGTCAGTTTCTAGCTTGTGTATGCAATCACCTCTTCAATGGCTCAGGGGTGGCAGAGACATGGTATGCAGTGATGGATGATATGATGAATGGTAGAGGTAAGGTTTTATAGATAAAAGCAAGGATGGTGCACATTCAAGTTTGAGTTGCAAAATTCTCACAGCCAGAAAAAAAAATTGTTCTATATGCTCTCTCACTGACTATCAAAATCTGTGCTCTTGAGAGCAAGAATGCTAAGAAGGAGATACTTTTACATGTGTGTTGACAGCCTCCATCTCACACTGACTCCAACTCTATGATTCAAACCATCATCAGCCATCAGATTCAGTGTTCAGATTCAGAAAAACTGAGATGTCTCAAGATTAGAAGATATTTCTCCTGACCAATAAAGATGCAGGAATAATTATTTCTTTCTCTCATCATCTTGATGAGCAAAATCCCTTGATCCAGATTTGAGGTAACAAGATGCCAAACCTCATATGATGATAATTCTTGATCAAGAGTCTTCTGATCATCCACTCTCTATCTTAAGTAGGAGAGAGGCCATCCTATGGAATATAAGACTTATACACTCTAGTTATACACTGGTTACATCAATACTCAGTATTTACATATATTTATTTTTATAATATAACATATTATAATCCCAGAGACAATATCTGCAACAGATAAGACAAATTTAATTTTTATTATTGCTATTTCTATCTTAATAGGGATTATTAAAAGTCTGCTCAATCTTAGGCAGTTACATCTCTGTTGACTCTATGGAAGCCTTTCCAAGATGCTGATACAAATATATATAAACAATTAATGACTGAAGTTGTTTATTATTTGTCAAACATCTTATTTAAGGTGATAACCAGGTGAAAACCATTTTACAGACACTTGATATAGTATCAGCCTTTTAAGCTATGACAGAAAAGTAGTGGCTAAAAGAACATCATATACAAGTATTATGAGCATAATTGTGATAGTCTATATAACAGTGAGTGTCTGAAACTTGTATACTACTTTTACAGTGCAGTATTTAACTATTCTACAACAGCACACTTTAATACAATCTAATATAGTATTTTTTGCATGTGAAACTCCTACTTAGAGTCTCACAATAGTCATTTTCACTTGTGTGCAGTTTAATGCATGTGTTCTGCTCTAACTCAGAATCAGGTCTACTGTTTTCAAGTGACTTGACATTGGCTAACTTGGCTAGTCTGTTTACTTGCATGTCTCTTTGTCTTTCTTATCTCTTTGGAGTAATTACACCATGCATGATATCTGTTTCAGACTGCCAGATTTATCTCTTATGACAAACACTCCAACTTATTCTTATATCTTTTGGCTGATTGTCCAAATATTTAGGTTTATCTTGTGCATCATGTCTCTGGTCTAGAGCATGTCTTTTTATCTGGCATATGTCTATGCATCATCAGTCACTGTGATAGTGATACAAAGTTCTGATTTTAGTCCTGACCATAGTTTTGATCATGTTCTTTCTATTTTTAGTGCACATCTCTGTGATGATATCAGTGCATTCAGTGCCAAGTGCTGAGACTTCATATGTAGTGAGATCTTACTGGTATCACTCTGCTACTAACTCATACACTTCACCAATCATCACTCAGGCAAGATATAATGCTGAGTCTTGTTTCATCATGCACTAGTTGTAGCATTTCTTAGACACATATAGAGTCAAATACAATTAATATATTCTCAGATTTCACAAAATTCCATGCATGAACACATTGAGAGCATGTCATACCTCTCTCACTAAGATCTGAATCTTCTGTAGTCCCTCCAGTAGACTTCTGTGTGTCTACATAGACTCTTATTATCATGAAAATACTCTATTTTTATTATAAACATGCATGAGTAATGCTGAAGCACTTTTTTGCTTACATTGGACCAATTTTTGAGCTTACATGATATCATAATGTCAAACCAATTATCACACTCTTGAAAACTCAGTTGCCTGTTATCTTCCTCTGTTTTCTTTCTTTCTTTTTCTCCCACTTTTTCTCTTCTTATTTCTCTTTCTATCTGTCTTGTCCCTCTCATTATGACCATCTTTATTTCTATGCATCTCATTTCTATTGAAGACCTCATAATCAATCTCATTGGCATATGCATGTTTACTGCTGCTTATTTCAACTCTTCTGTGGCTGATATTATGCCACATCAGCACCTCATGAACACTATCAACAAGGCTAATCTTTACTTAATGCACCACCATTTTTTCATTCTCTGGTGCTTTACTTATGCATTTTTCTCTCTTCACAGCTGGTCTATTATGCAGGCTTCAACTATTATCATTTGTATAACTCTGATTACAGAGTCTCTTTCTGACTGGAGCTGGCAAAGATTATCCAATGTATTCTTTTTTGCTTTCAGAACAATAAGTAAAAGTCTTGGGTGGTTATTAAGATGGAGTATGACAGCTGCTTGGTATGCCTTCTTACCTTCTGCCTCTCTGGTCTCTTTCTCATAAGCTCAATCTCTA